CAGGGTCACCGACAATCAGGTCATGTCGACCCCCTGTTCCTCTCTCGTGACTCGTTGGGAGATGTCAGGACGTAAGGTGTCACGTCTCGTGACGGCATTGAGCAGGTTGAGGATGCATACCATAAGTGTTCCGTCTCCGCCTCGCGCCGTGGGGAAATGTACTGACTCTTCTTCTTCTTCTGAGAAAAAAACATGTCAAGTTCTTTTTCCTGCATACTAGAAGCCGCATCAGCTAAATTGTGAGTCAGCGAATGAATACTTCTGCTCTCAGAAAAGATTAGCAGACATAGTAAAATCAAAATGTGAAGCAAGGTAAGAAAGACTTGAACACAATGTTAACGAAGACAGTGTTGAAGTCGTATTGGGGCTAGCTCGAGCCACTGGCGTTTAGCTTTCTGATATGTTATGAAGAAATCACCATCCCTCCCCGCCAATAATTTAGGCTGCACCGATATTTTTTAAAAGATTGATTTGATCAGGCAATCAGTGTTAATGGCATACCGATTGCACACGTCTAACAACCAAATCTAATAAATCAGGGGACCTATATATGTAAAAAAGCATGATAGGCGTTGCCGATGAAAGGTTATCATAAGCGTACCGTCCAAATACTTATATCACAGTAAACAAAAAATACCGAAAATATATGAACTTCCTATATTTCACAACACAGACATTCTAATTTAATGATTTTCTTTAAACGCACCGTTTTTTATGATATATCCGAACGACTACCTTTAACTAACATAATTGTTTCATTTGACCACGAAATATTGTGTTTTATCAAAGTTTTAAAAAATATTGTTTTGGTACTATGGTGCAAACTTTGGAAGGCATAGAGCAGGTGTCATTTCGTTACATAGATCGTCGTACGACACATTTGTTACCTTCCTTGCTGAAAGAGGTGCTTTTTTCAAACGTGCTATTAGTAAAGATACAATGAGTATATCATGCCCTCCTAAAAGGCTGTTTTTTCTGCCTCAGGGCAAACGCGGCTAAGCGTAACAGATTCTTAGGAAAAGAAAAGGCAGATATCTGCTAACGATTGAGCATCGTGGATTCTTAAACCTAAGACAGCGGTTCTGCCCGTATTCTGCTGCTGATTTACAAAGCTGCAATAAATCCGGCCCATCGGTGGTTCACCCAGCATGTCCTGTGTGTTTTCTGGTAGACACTGGAATTTTGAACATGTTGGGTGTTTAATAACTCCAAAATTAATTAATTTCAGCTACTACATCAATGTGTTTAAATGTCTGCATATGAAAACCGTAGTTTGATATGAATATTTGTTTCGCCTTCTCACGGCAACTTTGAGCTCACAGTGCAATATGTAAAAGCTGCCATCAGACTGTAAGTAGTATACTCAACGTAAGTTATGGCGATACTGGCAGCATTCGTTCTTTCCACCGGTGTTCTGCCGGTCATAAAGCATATGCGAGATGTAGGGCTTACCAGTGGGTCGGCAATAGCTAGGTTAGTGCGTTATATCAATTAAAATAATATCGCTTGGGATGTGAATTTGAAACATTATTCCTACTGAAGACGTTGGTTATCGAAAACTTAATTTGAAAACTTTGAAAAAGTCCATTTAAAAAAATGTTTCCCCGAAATATCTATATGGTCCGGACGGATGCTGTATGCAGAAAGTGACCATTTAAGCATAGTAAAATTAACCCTGCGAAACCAACTTGGACAACTTAAGAGCCTTTGTGTGTGATATGTTTATTTCGATGGAAGCAAAGATGCGAGTTCCAGGAAGCAGTTCAGAGGTAGAAGGTGCAATCACTGGAACAAGAACTTAATTTTCCTGACGTTTCGGGTTCTGTCAGGAATCCCTACTCATAGGAAATCGTACAATGGTGCAAGACATGTACAAATTAGGGAGATACATGCACAGATTACACTGAATTTATCGTTTTTAGCGGCCATCCACATGTGTATTGTAATTAGTTGTTCATGTAACCACCGCTTGGGTTTGTGATTGGTGCGATGGTGGCTTGGCAGTATGCTTCCGAGTCACGAATTGTCGCAGTTTCATCCTGCGTGTTGAATGCGGGCTTGATAATTGCGCGGCAATTATGTTCGCTGTCGTCGGGGTTGTTGCTGGGCCCGGTTCTGCCCACGTGCCTGATTCCTCTGCTCAGGCAGTTTTGTCAGCACGGAGTGTAGGAACGACAAGTCGTTGTGCTTGTTGATTGACTGTGAGCCTGATAACTAGTACTCAATGATCTAGCGGCTCACGGTATTTTTACCTCTTACGAGGATTTTGCCTAGTTTAACTGAAGAGTATGGCCAGATGTCGTCAAGTCAGCTGCAGACTGACATTTAGCGTCCTCCCTCCTCACCGCCGCTGCGTGCTCGGCCATTCGCGTCCAGAAAACCTCTCGGTTTCTCCGATGTAATTGCTTTGTCGCCAACTGCACTAGCTTCGGTAATAGGGCTCCAGCCATTTTCTGTTTTTGCCGTGGGCCTTTCTGTTTCATGACCGTGCGCCTTATGGTAGCTTCTGGCTTGGGCGCAACTACAACTGCAAGTGGGATAACAAGGCGTCTTACTTCATCCGATACATTCTTCACGTAGCGAAGAGATCACTTAACCTTCGAGCTAGTTAGACTTCGTTTCTTGTCTCGTCTGCGTGTGCACTGTTGGAGAAGGTTGGGCGGGTAATCATTCGCTTACAGTATCCTTCAAAGGTATTTTAATTTTAACAACTTTGTCTTCTTAATTGCAGCTCAACGCGCCGTTATAGCGCTCTTAAACAGCTATGCTTCTGTTTGTTTTATGTTGTTCAGAGTGCATATGGGTAGTGAGAAAAATAGCGACATTCCGCATATGTTATGCTGTCTTAAATATTGTCTTTCAATAGACCGCCTTTAGCAATACACCCCAACGAAAAGCATTACTTGAAAGATTGTTTCTGTTTATCTTATCTAAAACATTTCTTCTGAGATTTATAATTTTTCTGTATGTATTTGATTGTATAAAGCGAAATGTCCCTTTCAAATATGCAGTTTACTTGCTACACTGCAAACGCATTAACACAAAGCGCAGGCGGTCTTTTAGAACATAGACTTTCTTGTGATACGCGTGACATTTCACGTGGTAACGCACGAAGGTCAATTAACGCCCAATACGTATAGCGTGCCCTGGCTGAAGGCTTCAGAACACCCACGATAAAGCCGATAAATTAAAGTACACACTTGCCTTCGCAACCTTTTTAGACAGGTCATGCGACGCACAGTAATAACCAACAATGCTCTTGCCTGACTGATATAAAAGGCCAGTAAATCCACTGACGGGCATATACTTCGCAGAAAGCAATATGAGACAATCTAGGCCACTCCTTGTACTCCTGTGTACGTTCAGTAACCTCTCTTTATATGTCAATTGTTCATAAAGTTCATGCTAATTGTTAAGCGTTTGCGACCCATTTAAAAATTATTTTCCAACTATCTACCTGCCTATAATTGATACTCTACTGCGTTTGCAAGCTTGTGTAACAGACCTTATTTCGGGCGT